AGTGGCAAAATGATAGACCCAAGCAATCTTGCCATAGGTCACATGTGTCTGTAGATTACACACAGAAACACCCTTTTATTTATTCTTCTCATATGATTAAGTCTAACTCATCACTCAGATACAGGCAAATATACAACGTATCTTATACTGTCACATGCTCATATGGAATATCTCGTTTGCAGTTTATTCAATGATAGGTATTGGTTTTTATTTTGCGATAATGGGCTCTGCGTAGAGGATGATTGCATCTGACGTGTGCAATGTTCGTTCTTTTCAGCTGGAGCCTACTGCCAGTCAGCTGAACTCCAACGATGCCTTTGTCCTGAAAACTCCCTCCACTGCTTACCTTTGGGTAGGCCAAGGAGCCAGCGACGCTGAGAAATCGGGAGCGCAAGAGCTGCTGAAGACACTGGGAGCTCGCCCAGTACAGGTTTCTGAGGGCAGGGAGCCAGGTGAGGGAGGCGCAATGGAGTCTGAGATCATTTCTGTGTCGCTGTGCACGTTCTCAGTAATTATTTCATGGGTATTTTCTTTTGTCTCTCAGAACAAGGAAATGGGGACATGGGCCCAGAGGGGCTTCTCCAAAGTATCTTCATTGCATTTAACAGCACGCTCATGTTTGTAGGCCGTCGGGACTTTCTGACACAGAAGAGCGCTTCAAGTCCTACCCAAAGCGTCCTGCTATCGTGGTTTCCACGAACAGTTGAAGCATCAGTATCTCCTTCTCTTTTTCAGATAATTTCTGGGCAGCTTTGGGTGGAAAAGCTCCTTACCGTACCTCTCCCCGGCTGAAGGACAAGAAGATGGATGCTCACCCCCCTCGTCTTTTTGCATGCTCCAACAAGAGTGGACGCTTCACTGTGAGTATCTAAGACGACAGTCAATTAATTCACCATCCATCTGACAAAGCTGGGAGAAACTCAGTCCCTGTCTGCTCCGAGCCACCCGACAGGCCGTTAGACCCTACCTTCCTCTGTGGCGTTGTCTGCAGAAGGGAAGCATCGGCATCAGGCTTCTGCAGACAGCGGCTAGTTCTGTTGCGCTGTTGTGTCAGCGCAGCAACTTTCTGAAGCATCAGACTGCTCCTGCCCTGCTTAACAGCTAGCATTCAGACTCCTCAAATTTTAACTCCTGAATCTTTCAAGTACAAAGAGGCAGCGTGACAAGTCTTGGGCATGAGCGAAAGACAGCTTCTTTAGGTAGACGGAGACTGATTTTTGTGTTGTGGCCTAAACGCTCTGTGACATAGCCTGAACTGCGTGGTCAAATACCACGCCAGTGTCTAAATACACCTGACCGACAAGAGGTGAAACTAGAGCCTCCGTGAACTGCATTTCTCCTGTAAAGGTAAAATGGTGCTTGAAGTACGTGCTCAGCTTTTAACCTTATGTTCTCCAGATCGAAGAAGTTCCCGGAGATCTGACTCAGGATGACCTTGCTACGGATGATGTCATGCTCCTTGACACATGGGATCAGGTACGTCACGTTTATCATCTAGTGAAGAGGGAAGCAAAGAATAGGCACAAATTGGCTCTACCTTGAGGCCCAACTTACAGCAGCTGGAAGAGCAGTTGTATTCTGGAGTCCTTTCACCTTCGGGCCTGAGAACAAACCCTGGCTAGTGACATGGAAGAGAACTTGCGCCCGGAACTTGGGAGGAGAGCCGGCGTCCTGCCGGTTCTTTGGTTAGCTGCAGGGCTGAGGAAAACAGGCTGTTGTGGATCGTAGGTACGCCCCCGGTCTGTCAGCTTCTGGCGGGCAGCGTCCTCCTCCCGGCTGGAGAGGACTCGGAACCCTTGTGGGGATTCAGCAGCTTAAGATACCGACACATTTTCTCTTCTTTTTCAGGAACAGACAGTGCATAAATCAGCCAAAAGGCAACTTAAGAGATGAATTTCATATGTTTTGTGTGGAGAAAAAAAAAAAAAAAAAAGTTCAAACACCTGCTACTTTTTCCTGATGTTAAGCTAGTGTGTAATTTGTTCATGTAGCTTGAATTTACATAGATAAAATGCAGTCAAAAAGCTGCTTGTTAGCTACCAACAGCTTTAGTCACGTAGGTCAACAGTCCAGGCGCACCAGTGCGAGGATGTTCTGTGTCATGCTCTGTTCACCAAGACTTCGTCTAAACTGTCCTTTCTTTCATAAAGAAATAAATAATTCATACCTTTTTTTTCTCTTTAGGTCTTTGTATGGATTGGGAGAGATGCCCAAGAAGAAGAAAAGACTGAGGCTTTGAAATCTGGTAACGTCACATTTTCCTCTCTGAACTAGCCGTTTCTTACTTTCCCACCAGCTGATCATAAGGCGGGCGATTTGCTATACTGAGAAACATACCTGAATCGCAACATAAAATTCCACGTTGTGATCAAAGAGATCACATCTCTCAAGGGAGGAGAATCCCTAAGATCAGCGTAAGAGGCACGTTCAGCCACACTGTGCTCAACCCCTAACCCTGAAAAGGTGTCCCCGTGCGGGCGAGCGGGTGTAGGCTGCCGCTGCGTTACAGCATTTCATAATCCTAACACCAGTTTTCTGCAACCACGCGGCAGCCTTCTAACAGGTGTAGATAAAACCACAGAGGGAAAACTTTTGTGGCTGGTTTTTTTGTTGTTGTTATTGTTTACATGAACAATCTGAAATTGCATCTCTAACATCCTTTTAGCTACGATTAAGCTGTTTCGGCTGTGTTGCTCCATGAGACTCCTACTCGACGCGATTTCTTTCTGCTTGTGTTTCCAGCTAAACGGTACATTGAAACGGATCCGGCCAGCCGAGATAAGAGAACTCCAGTCACAGTCGTCAAGCAAGGCTTTGAGCCGCCGACCTTCTCCGGCTGGTTCCTGGGCTGGGATGATGACTACTGGTCTGTCGACCCTCTACAGAGAGCAATGGCCGACGTGGATGTCTAAGTAACAAACAAGTTTTTTTTCCCTTTTTTAAACGGAGCAAGTTTAGTACCTTCAGTGCCTTCGAGAGCTACTTCCTCCTGCAGGATGCATGTTAACAAGGCAATGATGTTAATAGCCAATTAGCTGTGCAATAATTACCAAAAACAATCATGACCAGTCACTGACCCTACTCCTTGCTTTGATTATATTTAATACAATAAAGCTTGTATGGAATATGCGAAGACTAGAAACGGTGGGGTGCGTTGCTAAGAATTAAACCTTAAACAGAAGCTGTAGCTCCCGCATTTGAACTTGCTTGAAACAAATACACCTTGGAAAACTAAACCTTCTTTGTGCCATCTTTTGCACATGCACATGGTTGCAGAAATGATTTGGGGGGTTTTGCGATCGTTTTGTTTTCCCCTCGCCAGAATTATTAGCATTTAAGACCCCGATAAATTAACAGCATTCTACTTTTTCAGAAAGTCGCTCGTTAGTAAACAGCATGGTTTTTTTAATTCAGGCTGGGAGCCAAAAGTGTGCTCCTGGTGTCAACAAGAATTCACAGGGGTGGCCACCGACGGCAGCACCAGTGGGAGTTACAGATCCACTCGTCTTCCCCAGGGATTAACCTCAAGCCGTACAGTTACTCCGTTTCCCGCTTCAAGTGCATGAGCACAGCACTGCTAATTATGACATTTCTGTTAACTGCATTTCTCCCCCCTCTCCCACCCAGAAGTCAAGCTCAGCTTGCCTCAGCCGAAGTACTGACACACACACGCATGCAGAGGGGTAGATTGCTTTTATTGTGCATGGTGGGGGGTAAAAAAAAAAAAAAAAAAAAAGGTTCACAGCAAACAGGCAGAGGAGAAACAGCGCCAATTGGCTCGAGCCCTTACAGCGCCTGGGCGCTGCACACAGCCTGTCAAGGCACGGTTAAACAGCCCTTGCCCTCACTTGTACCCGTCCGTACAGAACCCATCGTAGCAGAAAGGACATAAAAACCAAGTTAGGAACTTCATGCTGGCCGGTGCGAGAAGGGCACTTCCATCGTTGGTCTCGGCTTTTTGTTGCCACCTCCCAATAATTAAGGGTCAGATGCTAAACTGAGCGACAGCGGCAACCTAAAGTGCCTCCCCCACCCCCACAGACCCTAATTCTTCTCATTTTGATCTGGAATTACAGGTACAAAATACAAATACAGTTGAACAGACTTACAGCTCAAGACTACATGCTTTTGGTATTAAGTCTAAGCCCTTAATGTCACAACAAATCCTACAGGTCTGCTCAGCAGCATCGACAGGTAAAGCAGAGGTTTGCTAGAACAGGTATCGGAACAGTACAGCGTCTTCTGTTAAACAGCACCACCCCCGCTACTGACAGAGATCGTACTGCCTGCAGAAGCAGGTTTTAGACCTGGATAAAATGCAGGAGACGGCACTTTGGCTTTTATAAATCATTCTTCAGAGAGGCAGCTAAAGGCAGAGCCAACAACTTCTCGGTGCTTTAAAGCAGCACACATGCATACAGGCACACCGCCGTCAGTGACCGCAAGCGCATCGCAGCCGTAACTACGGCGCGTTCATGCCATCTCTGTGGAGCAGAACGGAGGTGGCAAGGTCCACATTGGTAACGCTGGCTAACAGCTGTTTCTCGGGAGCAGGGGACTGTTTTAGGGAGTATGAGCCTGATTTGCAGAAGTGCCCAGTACAGTATTCTCCCTCCTGCGTCAGCTTCCATTACTTTTCCTTGTGTAAGCCAGAGAAGCAATCCACGTGACAGCAATCGGATGACTTCATTGCTTCTAGCTGCGCTCCAAGGGAATACAGTTAGGGCTGTTGCACTTCCCTTGCAGGGCTACAGGCCCATTTATCAAAAGGATTACGTCTCTTTCCAAATGTTGGATCATCTCATCTTCGCCACAAATGGGTTTCTATACTATTTAAAAATGGGAGGTTACAGATTAAAGGTGTCCAACCCAGGACAGCATGGATACATGCTTATTTAAGATACCTGCTTGTACTCATTTTGAGAGGTTTTCAATTTCAAATAATTTTGACTGTCCATATTCACAAACATTACATATAAGTTCTATAATACGCTTAGCGTAACAAAAGAGGTTCCTCGGCACATCCACTCTGTTAACACCGCCATAAGCTACAATACATAGGGAATTCAGCGTACATTCAGTGTAGCAACCCCCCCCCAGCTCTCTCCTCCCACTGCACCTAGTGACGTGCACCTACGAGCCCGTCCAGCATGTTTATGGGCAACGGGAAGACGATGGTGGAGTTCTTTTCTGCAGCAATGGTGGTCAAGGTCTGCAAATAACGAAGCTGAAGAGCAGCAGGGGACTCCGTAATAACCATGGATGCCTCTTTCAGGGCCCTGGAAGCATTCATTTCGCCCTCAGCTGCAATTACCTGTGGAAGCAAAATGAATGCCAGTCAGTTCATTCTGGCACAGCTGTAAACTAGAAATCCATAGGATGACTTCAGCCTTAAGTCATACACCAAAGACGCTGCTCCTCACTTGGATCAAGTGGCCTCCCCTTACCACGTTCCTTCGCCGGTTCTGCCTTTTCCCTGGCTCAGACATAAGCTACTCCTGCCTGCATCCAAGGCCCCGCGTGCCCGTTTTCCTCCCATTCGGTATCAGGATGCCAGATCAGAAAAGCTGGCACCGTGTCTTCAAAATGCAATGGGTGCATTTGTTCTACTTTCGAGAACTTCTTTTGTGCTTCTTTCAGCACTACCTCTCAAAACCAGAAGGCACTCCCCATATATATCTGAAAATACTTTCTACTTAAAGCTGTATTTTTTTGTCTCTACAAGGGCTTGCTAGGTGAATGGCACGTTTCTTAGTGTGAAACACCTTTTTATTCCCTCATTCTTTTTAATTATGAGCTCATGAGGGACAGATTTGTGGTCATGCATTTCTTTAGAAGCAGGGCCCTTCTGCAGCAGGACAATATAGATATTTGCTGAGTGTCTGTAGAAGACAGCACCGTTTTAAGAGACAAGTCATGGGTGAGGCAATTTACGTGCATGTCAGCACAGGCAAGTGTGTATTCTCCTACAGAGTTCTATCGCAAGGGCACAACAGTCTTTTAAACATCAGAATAAGTAATAATAAAAACATAATCACAAAGTAATTAAGCTTCAAAAAAAAAAAAGTAGAAGTTAATACTTGGAGCATTAATCTAGGCTTAAAGATCTTTTCCTAGGTGCACCACCGACTTCACATTCAACAACTGCTAGTCCTGAAGTCTAATGAAATGCAGTTTAGCATTTATTTCCCATGAAAATAAACCCCAGATTTTTTAATTAGAACCTAAAGATAGGTTATAGTTAATGAAACTCCTAATTAATGGCAGATATGAAAACCAGTCATATATATGTGCATTAAAAAAAAAACCCTCACACGTGTGCACACGAGATGAACATCATAAGAGTAGATGTAATTTTCATGGCATTAGATGAACTCTAGTAAACCTCCCTTTGCCAAGACAAATTTTTAGTATTTAGAATGCAAGTTCCATTTTTCTAGGGGCGAGCAGCTCAAGAGACCAATAATATCTACCAGAAACCCTCATCTATCAGCTTGGTCTACCAAAAAAAGTTTTTTGGACAGCTGGGGTTTTTGTTTGGTCGCTTTTTAAAAACCAAACTCTACAGCTGCATCTATGGAGGTCAAAGTAAGTTTCCAAGACAGGATTACCAAACGGCCAGAGGAGGCGATGGCAGGGCACAGAGCACTAAGGGAGAAAGCCGACTTGCCTAGCCCGAGAACAAATCCCTGAGGATTTGTGCCCCAAACTTCAGGATTTCCTATCACCTTCTCCCACCTCAGAAGGGAGTAAGATGTCATGACCAAACTGGTCACCAGTCGGCTTAAGGGTGACAAAACTAAGTATTACACCTGGTTTATTTCTCATATGAAGTAACAAACAGAAAACAAAGGACTTGCCTGAAGTCAGGGCTAGTCAGGAAGAAGCTGGAAGGAAGATTGGCTTCTAATTCACTGCAGGCTCCAGCTAATAACATCAAAATTGTTGTTCTGTTCATGATTTGTTCTTGGAGTGTGGTAAAAAAACCCCTGAGAGTCTGCATTTTTGAAGGAAATCTCACCTGCATGATCCAAGATGAAAGAAAGCAGGCACCCAGACACAAATCCACAAAACCCCTGCCCTGTGCTGCGCTCCTGTTTGCTACAACACAACCTGGCTGAGAATCTTCACCCTCTACATCACCGCATTCAATTATTCATGAAGGAAAAAAAAAAAAAACCAAAACAAAATTCAAACCCACACATTGATGTTATTACCTTAGCTCTCGCCTCCCGGGCAGCTTCTGCTTCTGCAGCCATTGCTCTCTGCAGCTGGACGGGTAATTTCACATCCTTGATCTCCACACGTTCCACCTTAATGCCCCAATCGTCTGTTGCCTCATCAAGTGTGACCTATGCAAGGCAGGACAATGAAGTTAAGCCATCTACCTGGCTGCAAACAAATGTCCCAATTTGAAGAATGACCAATAAACCAAATGAATTATCTTACAGTTCTTGGACTTTAGGGGCTTTAGTATTTATATTACGATTTGATAGTTACAAAAGCGTTAACTGTTGTAAACTAACAAAAAACCCCAGAGCTTGATTAATATATGGAAGGAATTCTGTGGCGTCATTTCCTTTGACAGCAGAGTACTGACGTAAGGAGCCAGGGAAGCCCTCCTCTCCTCATTCCCACTTGCTAGCCCCACCAGTCTGGTATTGCTTTAGTCCCTCATTTTTATTATAGGGAATGCCATCCTGACAGCTCTTGATAGGGTTTTGCCTAAAGCTCCACATCACAACTTGGCTTATCGCTTAGAAGGGAAAAGAAATCCCGACCTGTAAGCTATCCATGGGATTGCTGCTTAACTGATTGTTTGGTGGATCGCTTAGGTAAAGCTGCTCATACCTGCATGCTGTGCGCAATTTCTTCACGGTCAGAGAGAATCTGAGAAAGGTTTTTGGTCCCCAGAACATTCCTCAAAGTAGTCTGTGCTAAAAGCCGGGTGGCCGAGTCAGCATTTGTGATATTTGCTACAGCAAGGGTGGCATTCTGAACTCTGTAATAAACCACTCCGTCTACATTAACTGTCACAGAGTCCTTGGTCAAGATCTAAAAAGCAACAGGAAAAGCATGTGATAGTTGATAAATACATGGTTAATTATTATTATGATAATTACATATTTGTTTTACTAGACAGACTCCTAGTTTTTCCAGGGTAAAGCAACTGTCTTGAAAACAAAAGGTCTTATATACGTGTGCTGCCTGTGAACATGTCTAGGTACAGATGCACAAACCTTCCAGTAAGAAGTAAGGCTAAATACGGGATGAGAACACCTCTCACTGAAGAAGTGAGTTAGAAATACCATTATGGCAAAGCTGATGGAATGTGTTTTTCAAATTCACAGAGGGATCTGCAATTCAGACAAGTGACAGGGGGAGGGGGAAAAAAAAAATCAGAAATAATTTACACTGAAATACATACGCCTTTTTACCTGGGAAACTTTAACCTGTTATTCTGAAGCTAGCAACGTATCCTAACCAGGTAGGTCCCCCCGTGCTGAATTTCAGCGAGGCTTCCAGTAACAGATGTGCGAGAGGCAGACCGACTGTACAGGAGTGCAAAAGGTACGTAATGAAGGAGCAAGGTAACGGAAAAGGCTCTAAGAACATCAGCATTCAAAGTTATTTTGTTTAAATGCAGAGATGGGGATATGGGACCACTACACTCCAAATGGGTTAAAGCACTCTAGTTAAGAGCACACACTGGAAATATTGGTGAGAGGCTCATCTGATGTTTCTGTCCAGAGAGGAAAAGCTAATAATGAGTGTCATTGCAAATACAGGACACTAATAGATTTTCACTTGTATTTAATTTCCGTCGCAAGACTATTGATTTAGCAAGACATAACTCTGCAGGCACGTCAGTTTATAAAACAAGGGCAAAAGCAGGCTGGGAAGGAGGAGCATATTTCAGCTGCAGTTTCACAGAAACACCACACAGGAGAGTTTCCCACACCGCAGGTGTGACTGCAGCTGAAGGCAGTTCTCAGTAACTGCTTACTCCATAACGTAGGAATGGCCAATGCTAGAGACTCACTGCCTAAGTTGCTCTGTAGAATTGCAGAAAGTTTGGAAAAAAGGATGTTGGTGTATAGACGCTTAGAGAAGCAGAGAGCCATGCCCAGGAGACATTTTAGAAAAGACTGGAAGGCTTCACTGAGGTATGTCTTAGCTACTAACAAAATTGCCTGTCCCAACGGCCTGATGTATTTCAGCTGCACGGGTGTCAGCCTTACTTCAACATTTAATTAGAAATATCTCTATTCTTATCTAGCAGTTCATTGTCCTTCTTGGAGGTACTTCTGATTGAAATGCCACCTTGTGCTACTAAACGAGTATGTGGTGATTTCTAGACAAGTTGCAGAGGAAATCCAATTTGTGACCATCCTCAGAGCTTGATTCAAGTGACATACTGAATTTAACACTTGTACGGTTAAGCAAAGGATGTGCTTGCAAAGATAGAGACAGATATTCTGGAAGGTTTAGAAGAGGGTACACCAGAAAGAAGCATTAATATTAATTATATTTTAAAGTTAAAAAGAGATCGAAGCATGCCACCCGATCATGAGAAGAGGTGTCCTAATTCCATGTTGGACAATTGCTATTATGTTATCTGACGAGAGGGGGACATGCGAGTTATTTAACCTTCAAGACTTACCTGCTCTGTCCTTCCCCAAACTACCTATTTTAGCAGGCTTTCCGTAATAGGGTAGGATAACCAAAGAATGAGTGTCATGCACAGAAATCATGTTGTACAAATAAAAATATATTTCTGCTTTCACCTACAGAACGTAAACAAACCTAAATCCATAAGCATAATGTAATCAAGTCAAAAGAAAAACTGCAGAACCGATGGCTTCGCTAATGGCACATCAGCAGCTGGAAGCACATTTTGCCTGCCAGTGATTAGGTTTCTACCAATTACCCTTTAGAGTGTACCATGACAGTGGCCATTTGTTTAAATCTACAACTAACGACGAGCAATAAACCGACTAGCAAATATGATGGGAAACAGATGCACCAGACAGGTTGCGTCAAGCATCTTTGTCTTGCAAAACACACCAGATACACGAGGGTTAGAGTTATAATCATCAGCATACAATTGTTCGCTAACTTAATTTTAAAGGGCTAGTTGTTTTTTATTCTTCTGTTATCCACTGAGTTGGCATCACTGAGTTCAGCTAGCTTAATGCTGTGGAGAGATTCTGCTAAAAAAAATTAAGATGTCCAAGGCAAAACAGACTAGAAATAAAAGTAATTTTTTTGTTCTTTAGGGCCTTCAAACTGAACAGCATCCGATGAGATTAGGGGCGGTACCCCTTCGTAAGGTTCCTCTGCATAGCAGGACACAGAAGCAACAGGTACCCAAAACCCACGTAGGGGAGTGGACTGTTACCCTGAGCTGCTATTAATAGCATTTGATGTATATAATAATTTAATAGTTTATACACCTAGATAAATTGGCATAGGAAAGATCACTGCTGCTTCTGGAAATCTTCCAGATTTCACAGAAACAATTGCACGAAGTCCAGCAGTCTTTATTCCAAACCCCTCCCACGCTAGCTCTTCGGCAATATTAAGTTATCTTATTTGTTCCTTAGAGGACAGCATAATTTGTTTTCTTCCAGTGACCTTCTCTTACTGAATGAGATTACTAAAGGATATATGTATTCTTCACATTGAACCCGCACAAGAAATCTACATTAAAACTACATGCTACCCAATACCGAAAGGGGGGGAAAGGGAAAAAGAAAGTGCAAAAAATTCTGCAAACGCTTTAACAGATACAAAGGGAAGTGCAAACTCACCTCTTGGGGAGGAATATCAAAAGAGATGGTCCTCATATCAACTTTGATGAAGCTGTCTGTGCAGGGCAGGACAAAAAACAAACCTATACAAAAAAAATCCGTTCAAGGTGGTGTGAAAATGGGTCATTAAAACAGAAGAAACTTGCTACTGAAATAAGCTTAAATCCACCCACTGTAGCTGCATAGCCCTCTGTAACGAGCTCAGCAGCATGTTCGTTAGAGGCTTTCAAACCGGGATAAGATTTTCAAAAAAAGTATGCCGAGAAACTTCAATTTCTTCAGGTCTAACTTCTTTAGAGATCTTTAACATTTGGAAAAAAAAACCCCAGAACTGTTAACAGCTACTTTTCAAAATTTGTCCCACATAGTTACTTGTGGGGCCTAACTTGGGCAAGCAGAAACTATCAACCTCCTTTCGTTCCGGTGGATCACTGTAATTCTTCAGCTTTACAGCAATGAGGAAGTGTTGCAAAACCTGGATGAAGATGAAAGAAGCTGCTATTGCCCCTTTCTGTCACTTTGAGCAGCAGGAGCAACAGCTGTTCTTTCAGATCTCATCAGAATTTCTAACATAGGAAACTTTTCAAAACTATCAAATAATTTAATTGCTTCTATTTCTTTTGAAGAACACTGAGGCTTTCAGACCATTTGGGTTTTAACTGACATACTAAATTTCTTTTTTAAAATGGTACATTTGATGCCATTATTCCTCCCTTTACATTCTGTGCTTTTGATTCCACCTGAAGACCATTACCTAAGGAGATCTGGGTAAGGCTCACGGATAATTAGTTTACCATCTTCTCCATATAAAGCAACACATCCTCTTCCTGGAAGTTACAAAATTCTTGAGAAATCCATTCACCAGTCTAATGCAATGTCTCCAGACAGCTATTACTTTGCCGATGATTTAACTGGAACAAATACTAAGAATGCTTTCCAGGACGTACCTGGTCCCTTTGCTCCCCCTTTTAAGATGCGTCCAAGTCTGAATATGATGGCTCGCTCGTATTCCTTTATAATCTGTAATAAACAGTTGGATGTCACACAAGGGTTTCCAGAAACCATGCGATGGATTCCAAACTATGTATACTCTAGTCTAAGCCGGTCCTAAGTCTCAAATGTAACATACATTACATTTCATTTCTATACTGGCCGCTTTTGAGAATTTCATTGTCAAAAAGCAAACAGCAAAAGGAACAATCAGGACAATATTCCACAAGAAATATTCTTCAGACTGTGGCACCATCTATCAACAGCAGAAGCAACAGCACGTCACGTGGGCAGGACCACATGCTAGAAGCAGCCATCAGGAATATCCTGGCAACAACAAAGCAAAGCGCAGTATATGTCACCCAGCAGAGATTTCTCCAGCTCTAGTTCTGATGCGGTGTATTAGCCAAAACAAAGCAGGAGTTACTGCCTCCGGTCTGGAAACTGGAAACATCAAGCTCAAAGCGATCACAGATGACATGTTCTCTAAGAATCTGTCACATACAGCCACATCTATGTGCATACTTATATGTTTATATTTACATACTTCATATTTACACACATACATATATAGGGAGAGATCGCCTTAAAAAAATAAAATAAAATATCAGTCCTCCAAGAGTAATTATGTGTGCTTGCAATTACTCTGATCTTCCAAACCGGCTTATATACTAATGACAACTGGGTAGATGTAGTAAAGATGTCAATGCAAAAATAATTTTGACTAAATCCCGTAATTGCACTTTTCTTTTTGGTTGGAAGATTAATGCACAACATGGGGTCTGCTGTATACTGTCTGTTATAGTTCAAGAAAGAATAGAGTTAGATTATTTGTGTTTAAAACAAATAAATAAAATTGAGAACATTAATAACCGCTAGGAAGCATCTGCATTGCTTAAAGTTTTAGCAGTGGGCAATTTTACCTTTATGCACATCCAGATCGATACAGGAAACGTAATAATAGTGAAAAAAAGTGAAGCGATCACCAGGATCCAGCCACAAAAACCAAGGCCAGTATCAGAGTCATCTGCAAGAGAAGAGCAGAAATTTTCAGTTTTTTTAAAACCAAGAGTGCCTGTTAAAGAAAGTGCCTACAATTGGATATTTATGTTGAATATTCCTCGAGATAAGCCACTGTTAGCACTACTCCTCTGGCCAAACTCATTAGGTTTAGATCAGAAGTCAAATTAAAAGCAAAATTCTGCTTTCATGTTCACTAGTCCCTAGAAGTTGCACAAGATAGCTGAGGGCAGAATGCGGTCAAAGTAACATTTATGCAGAATTAAGTATGCTAACATTTATGTATAGACTCAGCTGCCTCCCTCTTCCCCAATTTTCTCTGGCAGAGTGACCACCAGGCAGCAGTAGAAAGCCTGTTCTTTTACTGTCTAAGGAAGTCAGAGCAACGCTTGCTTAATGAGTCAAACACAAATACCCCATGGCCTATCAACTCTGGTGACAGGACATTTAGAATTTGGTTTATGTTCCAGCTGTCACAGGTGCAGACCTAAGAAAACCACCATTGGCAGAACTGTTGTATTGAGGAAGCAGGATAAGATGCAAGATGTGCTGGACATGAAATAAAGTCTCTATAAAGCATTTCTTGGCTGTAAGATTCCTTATGCTTAGAAAACAAACATGATAGTTCTCTGTCATGAAATCCTGCCAGCTAAGGCTCCTAACAGGCTGCCAGGAGGCCACTGCCACGTGAGGATATCCCAGGGTGAAACCGAGCACTCGTAACCATCCCATTCCTACCGTGGAGATACTGAAATTCACCTTTCACGCTCCATCCTTTAAAAAGCCAGAAGTACGAAATGCCAAGAAGCACCCACAAAGCTTAGAAGGACAACAATTCTCACATTTAGACGAAAGAACGTTGCTTCAGGACCACGCTTCCTGATTTTGCTGAACTCTACCCCCCTTACAGTGCTGCAAATATGCAAATGTTATCCTAGCTCCATCAATGCCACTAATACTGAAAGGACTGGAGTCTTGTTATCTAATGGACTGCATTCAGCAACTTGCTTAAAAGGAATTGCATTAAAGAATCTAGACGTTTTAGTTTAGTTCTACCTGGAATTATGTCATGAATTGTTTTCTGTATTCACCAAGCACAACTACAATTCAATTTATACTACAAAACTGGCCAGTTAAAAGAAATAAGTCTCCGAGTCTCCACCCTAACAGTTATTTTAGGTAGAACCCATTTTATTATAAAGCAAAATCTTGATTTGGAAAAAATATCCATTGATTTTAACAACTCCAGATACGTGAGTGTTTTATTGTGCCCACAACTGAGCTCAGCATTAGCAGTGTATCCCATAGATAAAGAGGGAAGTGAGACAGATCAGTCATTAGAGAACACTAACCTTGAAAGTAATAGCAAACAATAGTATATACTTTGCAAATTTAGATCTGCAGTATTTGACTAAAGTCACAGAAGTCAGCAAAATAACTGGGAACCAATACTGAAGTTTCCAGTCCTCGTTTTCACTGACTGTGGGTCTTAGAGCTAGTCTTAGCCTTTCCAGTAAGATGGAATACAGAGGTGGTGGAGAATATTAAGGTTTTGTCTCACACAGTACTTTGAACTTTATGAAGTTACTCAAAGCTTCTGAAGCCAGCTGACTATCTTATCTATAATTTGTATCCCTGTCACATGCCAGTATAATAACCCTCAAGGAAGTGTGATATCATGAGTCATTTTAAAGCTCCTCTATGGAAAGTTACCTGAAGGTATTTCCCCACAGGTTTATTATTACGTAGTGGAAACACCAGATTAGAGGAGTAATTTCCAGCCCCTCTGTGAAAGTTCAAGGAAATGCATTACCTACACATATCGGTATTAAGCCGCTGTCAGCATTAAGCAACATCTGTAAACTCGTTAGTGAAGGGAACATTACCTTTCATTTAGCAACAAGGTATTAGTCAGCCTACAACCATAAAAAGTATTCACAATCTACACTGATAAGGAGGAAACATCTCACTCTCTCTTTTACTGAGTAACTTCTATACACCTAAAGGAGCTGAGGATCCTGCTTCAGTTCTGCTCTACAGTTTAAGATCAAGTCTTCACTACCAACCACCTACCTGCTCCTAGCAGAACTACAGCATGGAAAAAAAAAATTATCCATTTGCTTCCCTGTTGAACATGAAGGTAGACATCACAACCAAATAACGTCAAAATTTCAAGACTGAGTAAGGGCACACTATTTAGCAGTGACGATTGTCCCATCATGTGGTGTATTTCACAACACAAAACGAGAGAAATGCTGTCTCATGAAAAACTACATGAAATACAAGAAACATGATTGGCATCTGTGGAATGAGCTTTCTTATTGCAATTTTTGAACATCTCATTCATGGGACTTGGCTAACTTCATCGATGGGCCATTCTTGCCAGATTTCTCAGTCAGGCTCATTGATACTGGATTCTAAATAGCAGCCGGTTCAACAGCACTGAAATGAGACTGATGGAGACGGTGCAGGTGTCATGCACGGCCTCAGACGATGCATATCCCTGCCCACCCAATGTGCCAGGGGAAAAAAAAGAAAAGCTTTTACACCACCCTAAGTGCTGGCTACAGCAGATAACCTCCCAGCCCTCCTTCACCCATCACGTATGTGAACCTTTTAACAGAGACAAAACATATCTTTGTTTTTGGCAGGCAGCGTCAAAGAACAGCTCAAAGAGATATTCTTTTCACTAAGTCACCACAAGCCAACTAGAGAGCTACTGAAAACAGACTTTTGTGTGATCCAGAGGAAAAGCGAGAACAAAAAGTTTGCCTTTTTATTTCTTAGCTGCATCCGTAGCATTCAAGAGTAGCTAAAGAGAACTAGAGTGAAAAATAAGGCAAAATGCTTTTGTAGTGAGAGTTCTGCCTGGGAACTCCAGAGAACTGGGTTTTGCTTCTCCCTAAGCCAGACTCTTCATGTGACATTTCTGATTATACAACTAAACTCAAAAAGGAGAAGAGCAATTTACTCCTCTCAAAGAAAAAAAAAAAAAAAACCAAACAAAAAACAAACCAAAACCTTGCTCACATAACAGATGCATGATCATTAATGATAATTGCTGGGAATATATATTTAAATATTAATACACTGTAATGTATGCAGCTGCTGAAAAAGCGATGAGAACAACAATGCAATGGCTTCAAAAAACAGACACCACCAAAAACTCAGATGATGTTAAAAACCAGAGTCCACCGCTACTGCTGTTGGGAGCTGTCCCTCATTTTAAAGGCGCTATGACTTGCAGAACAAGGCCTAGAAAACATAATCATGAAAGAAAAGGGCAAATCGATGGTCGTATTACAGCTGTTACTATTAATCACAGAACTGTTATGAATCACAGGAATAATTTATATTAAGAAATAATATTCTTTAATGATGAAAACACGCGCCCTGTTTCAACTATTCTCTGTTGGCCGTGAAAAGATGCTCAAAGCCCCGCTTATGCCAGAACAAGCCCAACACCACCATCTCTAACCATTCCACTGGAATTTTCTTGTAAGTTAAAACACAGACAAGCCCACAACTTGAATTTATAGCAGGCTGTTGGTGTGCAAATCAAGGCAATCGATCAAAAAATGCAAAAATTCTTGAGCAACTGTGCAGCTCGAGGGCTTCTGCACTGTGGCACAATCACTTCTTTAGGACTCCTGCTTAATTTTTCATGTGACCTTTATTATTTTTAAATACATATATAGAAAGAAAAACCCATTCAGGTTTCCTAGCTTATTTCCTCTCCTTGTAGGAAGACAATGTTTGTTCCATTACAAGATGGACCTCCACCCATCTTGTTCCTCCATCGACTCAGCCATCCTCTACAGCATTGACTGCTGTATGCACATGCAGCAACACGGGTACATCGTGACTTTGGATCATTTTGCATCAACAGACAAAAAGAATCCCTTCAGGTCTGGAGATCCAGCATTCACATAATTTTCTAACAACTAGACTAAAAAGAATGGGGAAAACACACCCTGGAACTCATTTCATTAATTAAAAATCAAACTACTTACAAAATATGGGTGCTACAGATTCACCCAACACTACCATTAACATTTGAAGTCCACATTCCAGAAGTTGTATATTCTTTTAGATATGTATACGTATTTTTTTTTTCTTCCTTCCTTAAAAGGTTTTAAAGCTTCAAGTTTATTTCAAATAGAGTTTAGGGAATTGCAAAATATGGTATCATTCCAAGGGATTAAACACAGAGATACCAGCTATCACCTAGGCCTCTGATTAAAAGCAAAAACTGGTTCTAATCTCAAGCAATTCCTATCATCTTT